GGTGTTGAGAAATGATGGACTATCTCACAACTAAATTGTATGTAAGTGCAGCTGAGTTTTCATTATGAACTGGAGGGAGGAAGAGCCTATTCTTGCATCAGGTAACTAGCTGTGTGCTTGACAGATGATAATAAAAGGTAGAGTCACACCAGAAGCCCAGAGATGAACACTCTGACACTTTGGGGAAGTTCAGATCCAAAAATTAATAAATGGGAATTTTGCCATTGACTGGAATGAAAGTGGGATCAGGCCCAGAGTTGACTAAAGTGTTGAAACAGCGCATTTCAAGTACAGTCCCTTTTTCATTTACATATGGTAAAGAGAGGATTTAGATGCATTACCTTGTCTTCTTTATCACAGCCATGTAATCTGATGCTGGTAGATCTTTGTTTACTTTTTCCGTTACAGCTCTGAGCACTTGGTAGCTAAGCTCAAAACTAAATGAAATAATTCATCCAGGGTCATCACTGCTTAATTAGGACGGATTTCTGTCCAGTCCCCTCTTCCTCCCAATAAACATTTGTACATGATTTCCCTGGGGATTTTTTCCCCGCTATAAAATCAGCTAATGAAAATACATGTGTTTTGTATGTATAGTACTAACGAAAATGAATTTTGCCCTCACTTAGATTTATCAGACTGCTCAGGCTTTCAATATGTTTTCTAGTCGGTAATCTGTCCTTACTGACTTTCCCACTACAGAAGCGTTTGATTAACTCTGAAATTTCAGAAGGAGCTGTGGGGTATTGTGACAGAGAGTAATTTGAACAGTTGGAAAAAAATTTAGAATAGTCTTTATTTTGCTTCGTGCCACCGTTTTCCAAGAGATTTTTCTAATGTTGTTTAATTATTTAATGATAAAAGTACATTTACAAACAAATAATGTTTGTTCTTCAACTTAATCAACACATCATTTTCAGCCAATTCAGGATAATAGTATGTTGCTGTATTCCAGGGGGAAATGTATGGAATTGAATTAACTGCTAGAATGGATTCCAAGGGCTTCATGGATCTGTAAATACAAGCAATGCAAACAACAACTTTTAATCCCTTCAGTTGATTAATGGTGGCAAGAGAGGAAGGGGGCACAAGACAGTGCCAGAGAGAAGCCTGACTGAGAATGAATTGGAGGAGGGTTAAGCTGGAGTTGCCCCAAAAAAGTGTTTTTAATTAAGCAATGTTGCCACAGGCTGAGCAGAGTGTCTTGTCCCTGGGTAATATGGCGGTATTTACACCTGTCTGATTAACTTGATTTGTGTGCTAGTGTTTTCTGTTTGTTTGGAAATGACATAATTAAAATTTTATACCGAGAATAGGGTCACAATCTGGCAGGTAGAGAGAGAGAGGTAGGTGTGTGTGTGTATAACTAAGCATTAGCAACCCCAGATGGATTCACATGTACGCGGTAGTAGTGTGCACTGTATTCTGACAGAATGACACTCACCTCAGTGCACATAGCCAGCCCTAAGGCCTATGCACCACTGAAAGCACCGTCTATTGGCTTCAGTGGTATTTCAGTGAATGGAGACCTTGTGCTTGCTTTCTGCCAGGGTAAATCTCAGCCCTCTCCACCTTTTCTCTCTATTCCTGCCGAGAATATGAATACTCTCTATGGGGTCTGCATATGGCGGCCATTGCCTGGTCATGTAATAGTCACCGTTTAACTCAAGTACCAGGCCCCGAGCCCTTGGCTATGCCGTAGAACAGCTCTCTGCACTCACTGCTCCAATCGCTTAGGGCCTGTGAAAAACCATCTTCATGATCTAAGGGGGCCAGAACTAGGAGAGCCAACATCTGTCTTATGCTTGCATTGCAGCCATTCATGTAGATAACCTGCTACACAGAATATGCCCTTTGTTTTTTCCATGGCCTGAACATGACTTTACCACTCCTCATCCCCTGCAAACAGTGACTCTGCAGAGGAGTTAAGATGCTGCAGAGGCCCATGCAAAGACTGTTTCTAGAGTCTTTCACTCAGATTCTGTCCTATACCAAGATGTGCTTGCACAGAAGGGCAGAGGAAGCCATCAGGGAGCAGGTTCTATCTGGCTAGTGACAAAGCTTCTGCTGTTGGAATCTTTAGTCTCCCTCTTACATATCCCAGGCCAAATTCTGCTCTCATTTACACAGATATAAATGTAGGTTAACTACTGCTTTAGCTGAGAGTAGAACTTGCTTCCTTTCCTAACCCTGCCTTCCCCCACTCGCTAGGTTTCTGATACACAGAGGAAGACACTGAGGGCAAATAGCAGAGGTGTGAGGATGTTTCAAGCCCAGCATCTTCACATTTACCTGTTGGTGCTGTCACAATACTAATAGCAACATGGGGTTGCAGGAGCTTTACATTGTTTTCTCAGTACTATTTAAATACTATTTGTTGTTGAAATCTTCTATGTGAGAACAGCCCCAATACTAGCTCAGAGTGTCTTTCAGCTAAACTTCTACATTATGGTTATTAGTAATAAGTATTATATATTCTGGTAACACTCTAAGGCCTCAGTTGGGATTGGGACCCTCTTGTGCTTGGTGCTGTACAAACACATGAGAGATAGGGTTTGCAACCTAACTGGCCTCCAGACAGCAATTCCGGGCCCCAGGGCAGAACAGTCAATGGGCCCCCACGCATGCACAAGCTGTGTCCGCGCGAACGCGGTCTGCCTGACATTTGGGTGGTGCTGTGCCTGTACTGACTGGTGCCCAGCGAGCTGCCGGCTGCACTGTGGGCACGCTCTTCCGGCATGGCCAGGGCTTTCACATGCCTGCCCAGTAGGGTTGCCAACTGTCTAATCACGTAAACCCACATACCCTTGCCCTGCCCCACCCCTTCCCTGGGACCACATCCCTGTCCTGTGCCTTCTCTGAGGCCCCACCCCTGCTCACTCCATCCCCCCTCCCTCCGTTGCTCGCTCTCCCCCTCCCTCATTTTCACCAGGCTGGGGCAGGGAGTTTGGGTGTGGGAGGGGATGCGGGAGGAGGTGCAGGCGTCGTGGGCGGGAGTTTGGGTGTGGGAGGGGGCTCAGGGCTGGGACAGGGGGTTGGGGTGCAGGCTCTGGGAGGGAGTTTGGGTGCGTGGGGGCTCGGCTGGGTAGGGGGTTGGGGTGCAGGAGGGGGTTGGGGTGCAGGCTCTGGGAGGGAGTTTGGGTCCGGGGGGGCTCAGGGCTGGGGCAGGGGGTTGGGGTGTGGGAGGAGGTGCGGGCTCTGGGTGGGAGTTTGGGTGTGGGAGGGGGCTCATGGCTGGGGCAGGGGGTTGGGGTGCAGGAGGAGGTAAGAGTGTCTGTGCTTACCTCGGGTGGCTTCCGAAAGCAACCAACGCACCCCTCTGGCAGCAACCCGTAGGTGGGGGGCCAAGGGGTCTTGGTGTGCTGCTGCCCACAGGCACCACCCCCACAGCTCCCATTGGCCGCAGTTCCCAGCCAATGGGATCTGCGGAGTCGGCGCTTGGGGAGGGAGCAGCACGCGGAGACCCTCTCCCCAGGGGCCACAGGGATGTGCTGGCCGCTTCCGAGAGCGGCGGGGAGCGAGGGCGGGCAGGAAGCCTGCCTTAGCCCTGCTGTGCTGCGGCTGGGGGCCTTTGGGCCCTTTAAAATCACCTTTCCCCCCCACCACCTAAAGACATACTCCTTCTCACTCACAGAGATTTTGTAACGGAGAGAAATCCTTGAGACTGTGGGGTGCAGTTTAAGTGTCTGGGCTTCAGTCTGCAACATGAGCACTGCAGACCAGAAATTGCTAGTAGCGCCAAAATAATGGTGGTGCTTTAAATTGGCCTTGGGATTCAGTGGCTAAACCAGTTTCCCTCTTTGGCTTAGATTGATTGATTTCACCTGTTCTGGGGCTACTTTCCCACCCCTTCTCATTATTCCTCCCCACTTCTTTCCACTAGTTCCTCCTCTGGATTGCAGATTTTAAGTGGGAAGTTATAACTTGTGACTTCTTTAGAAGCTGCTGTGTAATGCATTCTGTGGGAAGGGGAGCATCAGGCATGGTTTGTGACCTTCTCAATGTACCTGGTCGCAAAGTTACTCGCAGACTAGCCATGTGTCAGCAAACGGCCTATTCTTTTTACTCTTGAATTTGGGCTCAGTCCTGCAATCCATCCATTATGAGTGTACTTAAATTGATGCATATTAATAGTTCCACTGGCCCGTTTGGGATTGCTCTAAGCATTGCTCTACACACAGCTTTGTACGGCTACCACAGTTTGAAACCTGTATAGTTATACCAGTACAACCCCCTAGTGTGGATGCAGTGGTACCTGTATAACTGGTATAACCTGTATATTGGCACAGCTTATTCCAGTGAATTTAGGCAAATAAGCTATACTAGTATAAGGCACCTTTAAACTAGTATAACTGCATCCGTGTACCAATGTAATTATTTCAGTAAAAAAAATCATACTTCTAACCAATCAGTTAAATTCATACTAAAATCGAATGTAGACCAAGCCTCATTCACACCAACTGGCCATGGGTCGTATGAATTGGTGGAGTGCTTTGGGACTTCTCATGTACACAGAGTTAAGCATGTGCTAGAGTAATTGCAGAATCAGAGCCACACGGCACATCTATACTGCAATAAAAGACCCACAACATGGCCCTCAGGCTGCAGGGTTATAAAATTACAGTGTAGCTGTTTGGGCTCAGGCTGGAGCCTGGGCTCTGAGACACCACAGGTGATAGGATCTCAGAGCCCGGGCTTCACCTGAGCCCAGACATCTACGCTGCTATTTGCAGCCCCACAGTCCCAGGCTCGCGAGCCTGAGACAGCTGACCTGGGCTCTAAGACTTGGTGCCGTGGGTTTTTTATCGCAGTGTAGGTATACCCATAGATGTGAAATCTTTGAGGCAGGGAAGGTCACTTGCAGTGTGTATATATCCCCCAGGGTCCTGGTCCTGTTTGTGGCCTATAAACACTACCACTATCCAAATAATAAAGTAGTAACAACAGTAATTCTAAATATTTTTGGTTACCTCTACTAAACTCTCCTTTTTGTTTTGTAGAATGAAATGTGTCTAGCCACACAACAGCTTTCCAAGCAGCTTCTTGCATATGAAAAGCAGGTACGTCTAAAATTCTATGTTTGCAAGGGTAACAGTCTCAACATTCAGCTGATTAGATGGTGCATATGAAAAATCTATTCAAAGGGTAGGATTTTCAAAATGGCTCATCATTGGCCTAACTCGGGTCTCATTGAAGCCATTGGGGGAAATCGCCTGTTGACTTCAGTGGGAGCAGCGCTGAGTATTTTTGAAAATCCCATCCAAAATGTTTGTTAGTAAATTAATGAAGATGCAAAGCAGTCTATTCTTGGTACGACCATTCCCATTAAATAAATCAGATAAACGTTATTCCTTTAGACAAGGAAATTAAAATATAAAGTGCATGTATGAAAGTAGTAGTGCATATTTGTAGTACGACATATTGTCTGTATAATGACCTTGTTAACTTACAGTATCAATATATATTTTTATTTTCAGAATTTTGCCCTGGGTAAAGGAGATGAAGAAGTGATATCCACCCTTCATTACTTTTCAAAAGTAGTGGATGAGGTAATTTAAATGGCCTATAGCAATATCATCATGTTCTCTGTCTCTTTAGCCACTTTCCTCTGACTACAACTAAAGGCTAAATTCTGCCTGGCCTTTGTGCGACCATGTAATGGAAGGGAAGGAGTAATAAATCCCACTCCCTTTATATAACCCTTGTGTTTGGAATTATTAATATTTTCAAATATTAATAAGGGAAATCACCGAACACTGATTTAACCATAAATTCCTTTATTAAATCCAAAGGCCAAATGGTACTGATACAATTGCTCTAAACATGCCTTAAAAGCCTAAATAATAAGCAATTTACTACAGCCAAACAGTAACAAAACAATGAAAGTATCTTGATCAAATAGAAACAAGAGGAAGACCAAAGACAGGGTAGGCCCACTGCTTAGTGAAGAGGGAGAAACA